GTGACGGCAATACGTTTCATGAACTCGAATCGATTGTAATTTGTAACTGTCGCGTCGTGAACTTGAACACGGATGTGAGTTCATGCTCTGTTGCTAGGTACGGTAAGAATTTGTATGCGATTTATATTTTTGAATTGGGTGTCTAATTGGGGCTATAGTTTTAGATAGGAAAATTGTTATTGGGGATCCATACATAAGGTAACTTTTATCTTACAGACTGCTACTTCTTCAACTTTTTACCCTTACCCGCAAGTTATTTGAAGTCAATATTTTGTTTTTCACTTTTTCTATTATACTACTGACTTCTCATACCACTGCCATGCTGCCTGATTACAGATACTTAATTTTTATTTTAATGTCTGTCTGCTAGCTTATTTTAAATCATTGGACAAGTATTTTTTATTTCCTCACAGAAACGAATACTTTCGACGATATATTGATTTGAAATGTTGCGTTACGTTACTTCTATGTACATTTTATACGTAGAAATGACGTTTTAGCCCCCATTCTAAACTTTGATTCGTTTTATTTAAGTATTGTTTTATTATACCTAAGACAAAGTAAAAAAAATACGTGTCTAATATTTTTTCATTACCTACTTTACGGACTAATTATATTTTTAATTTTCATACCCTGTCATCATCCCAATTGTGTTGATCGATGTTTAGAATAAACTCAATCTCGAACTCAAATACTTCATCAAGTAATAAATAAATTATTACAGTTAAGCAAAAAATAACAATAGGAAATCTTATTATCTTATTTAAATCACTATCATTACATTTATTGTATCTAATAAAATATGAATAAATAATAAAAACAAAAAAAAAAAGAATTGTCTGTTTTTATCTCACCCACCTACCTCCTTATTGCCCCTTACCTACTGAGGACTAATATGTTTCCAAAATTAGCAGTATAAGGTACTGTAGAAGTATTTTATATAAATTGTGAAGGTTTCAATGACTGTTGTATATAATGATGGCGGTGACCTCTGGCGGCGGAAGGAAGGACGGTGGGGCTACTTGATGGTGACAATGTCCGTTTGATTGTATGGCCTAAGTTAGAACATTTTAGATTTTTAAAGTGTTATTGCACTAGGACGATTCTGGTTGAAATTAAAACAAATAAGAACGTATTCCCTGAAAATTATTTCAAGGAAAAGTGTGAATATCGTTTAAACTCTGCTTGAAACTTAACATTTTACTGCCATTGGAATTTATTCGCATTTATAGTTGCTTAAAATTCAGCTGTTAAACTAAAGTGGCAAGATGACTGGCAGAGAATGCTGTTAGCATTAAGTCCTCCTTATGCAATTGTATTGTATATTTAAATAAATAAATAAATAAATAAAGTACACATAAAAGTTTAAGTTAGTTCTACCAACTCGCTTTCGCTTGTAACTTAACTGTGCAAAGTTCCTCACATGTCGAAATACTTCGCTATGACAGTCCCACTTCCATCTAATTGCTGCATTTTCTACCTTCTCATTAGAGGCACGACAATACAAACCTTTATTAAGGGAAATTATTACTTAGTACAAAACAACACCTGAACGAGACCTTGCTATTTTGGGTAAAATAATTCAATCTGTGTAAAGTTAGCCCTGAATATTTGAACTATGTCTATTTAATAGATATGTACTATATGGAGTAGGAAAGTATCACACAAATATAATTATATAATGTGAAAATTTCTTTGTTTGGATGTTTGGAGGTTTGGATGTTTGGATGTTTGTCCGTTAATCACCCTGAAACTACTGAACGAATTTTGATGAAATTTGGTATACAGGCAGAGTATGGGCTGACTTAGATGATAGAATATCTTTTTATCCCAATTAAATGCTCCCATGCGATAAAACAGGTTACGCGGGACAAAGCTAGTAATAATGCTTACAGACATTATTGGTATGCAGACTCCTTAAAAAATATTTCAATACGTTCAAGATTTTATCTTAAGTTTTTAGATATCCTTGGAACATTTAGCACAAACACGTTGATTGTCACAACTGTACGGTCAGCTGAATCAACCCTCATATAAAAACAATAAGACCCTATTGGCTATTTCTATTTCATATTTCCACAAATATCTTACGAGAAGTTATCTTACTGAATAAAAATATTATCTCCTAAAGAATTTTCCCGAACTCTAAAATATGTCATAACCGGAATGTTTTTCATTTCCTTTTGTTATTATATTTCCCAGGCTTCAGTTCAAGGTTAATTAGTGAGTATGTCAATGGTAAAACATCACTATTCTACTACCCTTAATAAAACTTTTAATTGTACAAAAAATAAGAACATGGTTTTGTAAATTGGAGTACTAGTGTTAATAACTTTATTACGTTCAAAATTCACATGACAATAAAAACGTACCATGTATAATTATTTCATTAAATAAATTGTTAATTATGTGAAGAATAATATAATACCTAATAATTATTATAAGCGATATTTATTTATTTTAAATATTTTTTTCTACATGTTATTTTACATGGATCTGAATTTCACCTACTTAGCTAATCTCCCGCAACTATCGAAGAAGAGAGATAGATAGACATGACTGGAGATAAGTGGAGTTACTTAAATTGTTCCAGTTTGTTGCAATTTTTACTAATTATAACCTACTGATTCATCACAAAAGAGTCCTGATTGCGTATAAACTGGTCAACTTATACAAAGTAAGTGCACCCGATAAAACATTTATTCTTATAAATACTCGTGAAACAAGCGTAGGCGTCCCGCAGGGTGGTCCACTGACTTGGTGAAGGTCGAGAGAATTCAATGCATGCAAAAAATATACGTAGAAGAATCAATTTATGCTGACTCTTTCGGATGATGTCTATTTATAATTTGTAGAGTTCTTTTAATACCAGAAACATTGAAGATTCTGTTTGGTTTTAGTATGATGGTCCAAAATGGAGTGGCCTGACCACTTAGGTAGAGTGAAGATAATTGCTCTTGGGTTAAATGACAAGCAACATAAAATCGAAAAGTCGCGTGCTTTGGGGAGGATCAGGCAGTGGAAATGGGCCCATGGAAATAGTTAATACTAGAAAATGAAGCATGACGCAGATCCTAAGATCTTTCATACATATATTAGTATACCATCACGTACAGCTGTGATACAAAGAAATATTCGTGAGAGCTAGTTTAGTAGTGGCCCTTGTCTGATAAGATGACATGCCATTTCCTTATCTACACTGACGTCGCCGAGTTAATCGATTGCTAGACCCTACTCGTCCATAATAAGTATGTAATTTAATTTCCTTTAATTTATTTTTTGTAGAATTGAAGGTATCTTATGTAACAGTAATTAAATGCCCTAAGCGTTACATTCGATTTTTCATGTCATTTTAAATTATTTACGCTTTTTGTAGACTAAGATAATCTTACGAAGCTGACGTTAATTAATGAAGAATCTGTACAACGTCTGTTATTGCCTAAAAATAATAGCAGTAATGCAGTTATGCTATGTAGCAAGTAAAACCTCTTATAGGCATAATACATAATTCTGGCTTCACACCAATAATTATGAAGAAGGAATGTCGAAATTTTCAAAATACTGCCCACGTAGGCTCATATTAAATGCAAAACAATAAATACTAATTAAGTTGTCAGTCAATGGAGGTAACAATTAAAATGATCATTCAATTTTCCACTCAAGTGATCTGTGAAGTCAATGGCTAGTACTAAACAGTATTAAGTACTTATAATCAGCAAGTCACTACGAAGGGCTCTATTTTTTATTTATATTTGATGGACCGACGTTTGACCACTATCCCGCCTGGTGGTAAGCAATGATGCGGTCTACGATGGAGCACGTCGTCCCATAAGCAACCTATTCACTCGGTCCTTGAATACACCCAGGTTATTATACCCTTCAAGAAATATAGACTCTGGATTGGTGACGCTTCGCCGATTGTTTGATCCCTACTAGGATTTAATGTTCCCAGTTACACGAGACTCTTGATGATACATTCAATGTATGCTCTACTGCCTACAACTTAGGGGAATAGAAGATGTTATGTATGTATAGAAGTGAACATTTGTACCAGAGAAACAACATGATAATTGTTTTCACATTAAGTACGCCCTTTCTAGCGTAGAGTAAACTGAAAAGATGAGTGAAGGATCTTCAATATAGTAAATAGTGTATGGATGTATGGATTTAACAACTTGTTTAATTCCATCCAGAATCCAAATTTTTTGTCCTCAGCAGAATGTCTCTCTTTCTAACTAGACTCACTTTCGATAATCGCAGCATTATATTTCTATAAATATAGAGGTAATATCCCTATGGATACAAATGAAGCAATAATAATACCTAGGTATAATATACCTGGGTCTGGACATTCTGAAAGGTTATAAAGAAAATGTTAGTTAATATGCTAAAGACTCACTTATACAAAAGTTATAGTTATTTTAAGCTCATCTTGGTTATCAACGGGTTTGACCTGTTGGCTATATTGAGCGGACATTGCACACCCTCTCCCATTAATTAGTTGTCCTTCCAGCGATGCACCTGACGCCGTTTGACTTATTTATTTTAATTTTAATCCTTGAAGTTCTCATTGATAGACTCATCTCTTAAACGGTTGCTTCTACAAGTTACAGTTTTTTGAACTTCTGTATTACTTTTGGTGCGTAATTATAATCTTGAAGTTAGACTCCGATAGATAGGTACTTAGCTAAGTTATGATCCTGAATTTAGATACTCTGCTTATTGGATGTAATTATACAGAGCCACATTGTGCTAATTGTTTTTTTTAATAGTTCTTCTTATATAGTTTCTAGTAATTTTATGTAATATTTTAAATCCCTAAACTCTTACCTGCACTGCTCTGTATAATTATACCCCTACAATTTCATACCTTTCATATAACTTAGCCTCTCCACTGAAAATATAGGCCACAATAACCAGTTACCTCAAATCCCAAAGCTAAGGTCATTGGCAGCACAATAGTCGTATGGAAGCGTCCATCCGTACAGCTAGGACGCGGCTTCGATATAAAACAGCGCGTAGGGCGTCAACAGTCAGTGTTGTCTCAACATCATCCAGGCACCATGGCTTGCAAAGTAAGTGGATTTTTACTTATTGTGGTGTTCTCAAGTGTAGTGATTTTAAAATTAATTAAATTTAGAATTAAGTTTGGATTAAATAAATAATTATTTATTATTTTATAAGTGATCTTTGGTAAGGGTAGTTTTTGTTTTCTTTGATCACGTCACTGACATTTATATCGGATTTTTTAAAAATTTGTGTCGCTTTTTATCTGCTCTATAAATATTTCTTATAGAAAATTATTAATTTCACTGAATTATTTGCAAATGTATTTGTAAATGTAGGTAAAACGCGCTTCTTGCTTATCTTTTTAATGTGCAACTTAAAATCTGATAGCAAATTTTATAAGATTAAAAACATTATTGGTCTTATACAGACTGCCTCGTTGGCCGAGTGGTCGCAATTGCGACTGCCGGGCAAGGGCTCTCGGGTTCGATTCCCCTAGTATAACTTGGTTTTTAAAAAAATCTCAGTAGTAGCACGAAGTCTAGAACTGTGCCTGGTATATGGCAATAGGCTCACCCTCTATAACATGGGACTCATATGCACCTCTGTCTACTCCATAGAGCAGGGCTGTCCAAACAAAGGCCCGGGGGCCGCATGAGGCCCGCGTCTTGTTTTAATTTGGCCCGCGACCTACATTTTAATCTCAACATCTTCATCTTATGTGCAGCCATAATAAAATTCAGTGTTTGATTTGTCTAAAAGTATTGTGTGTGAGTGAAGAATACAATGTTAAACGTCATTGTACAACTGAAAATATTTTTCTGACCCTCCAGATTTTGTTAGAAATTTAATTAGCCCGCGAGGGTATATAGTTTGGACAGCCCTGCCATAGAGGATAAAAGGCATGATGTTATGTTATGTCTTATACAATCTATTAAAAATTATTTCAGTCAGCCAAAATTAGATAAAACTATTTTCTTGTTCGCTAAATTAATTGGCTACAAAGTATTTCATAATGAACGTTTAATCTTAATTAGTAGACAGTACATATCCGTGGGAAGTTATACTGTAAGATCGTGAGATATGTCTGTTTGTCTGTTTGTGCATTGTCGTAGGGATATGCGATAGGTATTGTAGGTACTGTAGGTAATTGTATTGTTCTTGTGTTTACTTTAACTAATAATAATTGTATTGTTGTGTTGTCTATAGTTATTTTGTTGATATTAGTTTGATACTGCATTTGTTTTATAGCATAAGTAATTTCAAGTGACTCTAATAAATGGATACAAACAGTTAATATATCCTACTTCAATAGTATTTTATAAACTGTATCGCTTTTCGACCATAATACTTTTAGATGACATGATATTTCTAAAGATATTTAATCCACCTGATTCACATTGACTTATTTATTTCAAGATTTTAATTACTATAAAGAGATTTATAAAGATGTCATCTAAAACATATTGGCATACCAATTCAACAGACTATTTTATTACAGATCGCTCTCTTCACCGCCGCCCTCTTCCTCATCCTCGCGCTGTCTCACGCAGCGCCAGCTGAAGACAAACCAGTAGAAACCTTAAATGTCGAAGCTGAGAAGGATGACCTAGAAACTGCAGACAAAGATGACCTTAAAACTGCAGCCTCACATTGGGGCGGGCATTGGGGTGGCTACGGCGGCCATTATGGACATTTCGGCTACCCATCCTACTACGGCTACGGTTGGGGCTACCCTAGCTATGGTTATGGCTACTGGCCCTATGGCGGCATCTATGGTCACGGATACGGCGGCTATGGACATTACGGATGGTGGTAGGACTATTATAGATATCGATTCTAATGCCAGTATTAACTCTAAGGAAAACGTTCGAAATGCGAGTAACTAAGTTGAGATTGATAGATTTATTTCATATATAATAAAATATTTACATATATGTACTTGTAAAAGATATTTGTAATATACCACACTCGATGTTTTTGTACACTGTAGTATATTTAAATTTTATTTTTCTGTTTAAATCAAGGTTTATAATAACATCGAAGCTTGTAAGTATCGTGTGTGGGCAATCTCATAACTTGCCGGTAATTGTGTATAATATTATGTTAAGGTTCAACTAGCGTACATTGACAATATTTTGTGAATTTTATTTTCGTAATTTCTTATTCATACATACATAAAATGTAAGAGAATATTGTATTACTGTATAAAAATCTGGAGTTGGATAACCACAAACAAAAGATAATTTCTTCTTTAAAACCAAAGAACTACACTGTAGTATTTACTTATGTATGTAATTTACTAATGTTGTATATTTGAATAAATATAAAATATACAGTTACATATCACTATATCTATGTCAACAGTTAATCTATTTGGATATTCCGGAGGTGTATGTAAGGATGGTATAGTAACGACAATGTTTTGATTTTACCGTTTTGTAATTCATGGTGATATTGTTTGCAAATTATGGTAAATATATTTTATGTTTAAACTACTGCAATGTATATATTTTTATATGTAAATGAAAATAAAATTCGCGAACGTGTCGTAGAATTAAATCTATATAAGGGTGTTATTTCACTGCCTTAAAATGTAATGTAAGATGTATAAATAGTAATAAAATATACAGTATATTTATTAAATGATGATTGATGATATTTTATTCTTTTACTGCTACAATTGCTATTCTTTTATTGTGACAGCACGGTTAGTGCGGCGGCTGGACGACCGGCTGCCACGCAACGTGTCGCGGGTTTAATTCCCGCACGGAGCAACTCTTTGTGTGATGCACAAATTGTTGTTCCGCGTCTGGGTTTACGTGTGTATGTGAACTTGTATGTTTGTAAACGGTTCCACGACACAGGAGAAATTCCAACTTTATAACAACACTCTTTTAAAGAAAAAAAAATAACAGATTAATAATCGAATAGCAAAATCTCTCATAATCGAAAATAAAATATAGTATTCAAAAGTGAGACTATTATATATGGTGGATATCATTAACAGTATATATTTGTATATATATAAAAGATAATAAATAAGCAATGAAACATTGCATTGTAATGTAATAACTGGTTTCGGTAGCAACAAATCATACTGGACCTGATGGTAAACTTAAAAAAAGCAACCTAGGAACACCTGTAACATCAAAAGATTCACAAAAGCGATGCGGACTATTTAAAAAATAACGAATTTTAGAAAATGCTAGACTTCAAGATGATTGTAGCAACTAGACTTTAAACCACAATTTGCTATTACTAAGCGTCAATTCATAGAACTATTTGTAAAATCTGAAAAAGGTTTTAGTGAAAATGTAGACTTGTGTATAAGTAAGGGTATGATTTGATTTCAATTTATAACAAGAATGATTTTCTATATCATTGTTTTTGATAGACATTAGGCATATCAACATATTAAAGAATAAATGTTCAAGTAAAAATTTACCTTGATATGAAAGTCATTCATGATCAGATGTCGCTCGGCATACAAATGAATCAATGAATAATAATCTCATAATCGTGATTTTGGAGAGTATTATGTCATTGCTCTGAGATATATCCAGTTGTTGGGGAATACCTCATGTCAGTACAGTCACTTAAAGTAAGGCGAATAATTTATTAACAACACTGTGTTCGTCAAATAAGGACTTTCTTTACCACACACTCTTTTACACTATTTAGGATAAGCAAAAATACAGACGAAAAAATGAAAAATTGTAGCAACAAGAGCCAAAAGACTGGCACAGGGTGTACTTTTTGGTGGATAACACATGACTCATTGTAATTTAAAAACTATCTGACGTGGACTTTTTTAATATTTTTCTGATAAATTTTGGAACCTTGCCGATCACCTTGTGCCATTTGATCGTCGACATCAGGGACACCCTGTAAGCCCTGTATATAATGTACATTATCAAATCTTAGTGTAATCCGCCGTTGTATATCTACAAAAAGTGTAAATAATTAAAAAAATAAATAAATAAATAAATAAATAATCTAAGTTTTGGGGTATTACTTTACTAAACGCTGATAATATTATCGTAGTATGTACATAGGTATACATGTCGTCACGCCTTTTAATGCTGAATGGGTAAAAACAAGTGTATCTTTATAAGATACAATAGAATACCAAGGTTCAAACAGTTATGTATGTCATTAGTGCTGAAATAGTGCCTCACATTTAGCAATATTTCAGACTCCGTTCTGTTATTGTGAAATTTTCTAAAATCTAAATACTCAGAACTTTTTTAATTTCGGGAATTAAACTTGATCACCCACTTGTGATTACTCAATCAACGTGACCATAGATACAAAAGACTTCAACGATTATCGAGTCAGCTCGTTGAACTCTTTTGTATGGAAGAACTTAAGTTCATTAAATAAAGTTGGCTAGCCTGCCATCTAGTGCTTATTTTCCGAATTACAATACAATCACACACGAACGTACCTTGATTTATACTTTTACTTTACGAAACCGTAAACCGCTTTACGGAGTTTGTAGATGTTGTTGAGTGCTACGTGTAGAGGGCGCTACTTTGTTTTTTCTACGTATGATTATTAAAACTATTTTATGTGTGCCGTGTACTTTTCACGTATTAATTATGATATTTACAGCTGTGATTAGCACGGATTTATGTTATTGTGTATAAAATAATACTGAATTGACGGATTATTGAATAAATATAGGTTGTGTGTAAAAATATCAAATATTGGATTTATAGTTTTTTATTGTAAAAAAATACGGTTTTTGCTGACATAAATATGAAATTCAATAAAATTTTGAATTTCCAACGTCTCTTTTTTATACAATATGTACGTATTATAACCACATACTAATTATATCCAAATATTATATATTAGTCTACAAAAAATATCTCAAATTACTACCTTGAATGAATCGACGAAACCTATAATCATATAAAATATTGACTGAACCATTCAATCAAATAATGAGTCAAAATATTTTGACACTCAAAATACTTAGTAGCTTAGCTTCATAATAAACTTAATAGCTATACAAGTCTTAATATTTTTTTACTGACTTCCAAAAACGATTGCTTCGTTGTTTGAGTGATTGCAAGTTCGACTGCCGAATAAGAAGTTTTGGTTTTTTCGATTCTCGATAAATTACTATTTTATATAATTTTAATATGACGTGGGTCACCTCCTACAGACAGCTGATTCCCGATACAGGGCGGTGGATTTCCTAACGGGTTGCCGGAGCAGGAGAGGAGAGCAGGAGTAGGAACGGGGTGGTTTTAGTCAGTAACAGTCTGACACTCCCTCTTCTCGCCAAACCCAAGGTCCCACCTTGGGTTATTGGATTGGAGTCATTGGATGATTTTCTCCCGTCAAGAGAAATATAATAGTACAATGAATGAATGAAAAATGTTGCCTCGTAGGCCGAGTAGTCGCAAGTGCGACTGCCAGGTAAGGGGTCTCGGGTACGAATCGATTTTAAAAAATTCTCAGTAGTAGCATGGAGTCTGGAATTGTGCCCGGTTTATGGCAATAGGCTCACCCCCTATTACATGGGACTCGTAACATAAATAGTGAAAAGTGGGTGTTACATTTTACAGTGGCATAATGTGCACCTCTGCCTACCCCTTCGGGGATGAAAGGCGTGATGTTATGTTGTGTTATGTCAATGAAAAATAGTGGTTGCATTTTGTAATTTACACCTTTGTTTGATTATAATTTTAAAGATTAAAAGGCATTATGTTATTTTATATGTACAAAAAAGGAGGAGTTCTCTTAATTAAAATGCATGATTAGTGGAAAATTAAAGATAACATCTGATTTATATTATATAAAGGTGAACAAGTTCAAAATGTTTTTACATATGTATATAACAACAATGATCTATATTAAAACGCAGCTTCCTTTAATATTTAATAATATTTACCTCATTTGAATATTATTATGAGATAAACTTTACGATATTTATAATTTTTGTTTAACATTGAAAATAAAGTAGGTCTGCTATTATAATAATATATACGAATACATATATAATGTGACATATAATAAAGTTCTATTAAAGAAGACATAAGATTGTTTTTAGAAGTAACACAGATAAAACAATATTTATTTGACTGGCTTCTGATATGACCAATATTTTATTGCAAAAGGTGAAAAACTGCACCGTGCACATATCGATCTTCTTATTATCAGGCTGTCTATTTACAGGTTAGTGATAATGTACAAATATATACAAACTCCTTGGTATTGTATGAATGCGGTTTTGTAGCAATTGATTTTTAATGTCATTTTAAAGATTCTTAAGCACTTCATTAAAAGTATCATCTCCATTACCGTTTAAGTGTTAACTTGTCTGTGAACGCAGAATTTGGATTAAACAAAAAGTATGCGGAAAATTAAATCAAAATCCGCATACAGCCTTCTTATAAGGAAGATTAAAAACATAAATGGATTTTCTTAAGTTTTTTACCACACTTATCAACAGACGGTTTGATGAAAAAGCCTACTTGTATCATTAATATCATTTATCAATGGTTAGCTTCTGAGAACTGGACATAATATGTTTTGTAGATATTCATAGAATTTATTAATTAACATTAAAGTATGGTTTGGATTCTCTGATCGATAAATTTCCCTAGTTCTCTGGAACACAATATAAATAATAAATTATTTAAGTATCTTCATTTCTAAAGGTAAACTCGTGATAATTATAGTTTTTAAATGAATGTTCCAATTTTGAACTTCCTGTAACCTTTTTATAATAACTAGTGTGAGACATACTAAATTAACTTAAAATTGCGAGTTACTCACGTGAACATACCGAGAAAGGCTCTATTGAACTGCTGAACTGAAAAAAATTCTGTGGTTCGAAACTACCGCGAAAAAAACCCACAATTCTTTGTTAACTCCTCTAGCCTGTACTTTTATAGCATAACTATATGAGATAAATAAAACTACATTTTTCCTCCAACTTCTCTTTAGATCGTACAAATAGTTCTAGTGACTTTTAAAAACAATTAACATTCTTGAAAAACTATGTTTATATAAGATTGCAGGCTTCACTAATTAATGATTTAATTAACATTATAAATTATAGTTCTTTGTAACTTGTATAGATTTTTTTTTTTTTTAAGTGGGGAAAATCATCGAATGACTGCCCCCGCCTGGGTGAGGCGGGAGGGAGTGTCAGACTCTTACTGACTAAAAACCACCCCGTTCCTTCTCCTGCACGTCGAGCCGGAGCCCCGGTTACCCGTTAGGTTCTCTGCGACTCCGAATCGGCATCAGCCCTATTGGGCCCCATCTGTGGTGGTCTGATGGCTCTTTGAGGCGCGCGCGGAACGCGACGCGCCGTACGCTCGGGTCTGTTTCTGGTCGGACGGGGAGCCACCCATGCTCGCCGTCCGCAGGCCCGCGCTTACGGTGGCCGGAGATCGTCCCGCGATCCCCGACGCCCGGTGTGTCCTTCGCGATGGCTGGGTTGCGAGGAGGCAGCGCTTCGCTGCCTCACGCGTCCCGCCTCCTCCTTAGCTAGCATGACTGCTTCGCAAAAGGAGGAGACGGCATCCCAGTCCCCCTCGCTCCGCATCATGGCCTGCACTAGGCCCGGACGCGAGAGGTCGCCATCGCCGATCACTTCCCTGAGGACACGGCGGTGCTCAGCCCAC